TTATGATATATAAATTTAAACCATACAAAAGGCTCAAAAAATTCACAAAGCACTAACACTCGGAGTTGACCTTCTCTGACACTTTACAGTAATTTTGTTGATGGGTCTACAATCCACGCACATGTGCCAAGTTTCATCTTTCTTTGACACCAATAAGTCTTGTATAAAAGAACTCAAACTTTTTCGTATATAGACCTTCTCCATGAGCTCCTCCACTTGCCTTTGAATTTCTTTAGTCTCAATTGGACCGACTCTATTTGCTGGCTTATTAGAAATGACAGTCTCAGGAATGAAGTCTATTCAATGTTTAGTACCTCTAATGGAAGGTAGTCCTTTAGGTATTTCATCATGAATCATGTCCTCAAATCCCTGTTAAAAAGATTGAAAAATACAGGATAAAGCAAAGTTGTTATAGTTAGAGACCAAAAATTCTTCCTTGTACATAAGTACAAAGATGACAAAGAATCGTGAAAATGGCAGGGATAAAATAAATGGAAAGATTTGAAGAAAAGGTAAACCATGACATAAATGAAGGATAAAATCAATTCTGGAATAGGCCACAAAGATGCAACATTGGCTCTGATATAAGGAAACCATAATCTTGAGCCCAACAATGAAAGCTTTTGTTGAAGAAACAACCTTGAATCAAAGAAATTAACACCTCTTTATACAAAATTCAGATCAACCGAGAGATAAGGTTAGAATTAGATTGTGTCTTACGATCAAACATCTAGAAGTAAGATTTAGAACTTGTTCTAAATTGAGAAGTTTCTAAATCGAGTCACTACACAATCGAACTTGATCAAGGCTTGATTGAATGGCTCAGATGCAATCTACCACAAGAATTGCTTAAACTAAAAAATGGCAATCAGACTTCTAAGGGCCAAAGTTCCAATTTGAGATTTCAATTTTGTTCATTCACAATCTGATTTTTTTGCATAATAATTTGTGGAAATTTATAGTCTCCCCACAAAAGAAGTTTGTGGCCAATATTTAATCCCGATCCCCTTAAATCTCCACAAAAGAAGAAGTCAATTTGACAATTACAAACTTTATGAAATTAAAAATAATAAATAAAGTTTTCTAACAACTCATGAAATAATGCTTGCAACTTCATGCATTGGTTCAACCGTGCAAATATTCACTTTTGAAGCTCCAAATAGTGCTTTCTCAATTGAACCAGCTTGTAACAAATGAAATGATGGTTGAACCGAGCCTATCAAATTTTGTAGATGAAGAATTAATGCTTGCTGAATCATCTAGGCCTCGGATCATGTAATAGTCTGACACGTTCTCAAAGTTTCAAGAATTCAAGATGATGATCGAAGGAGACGTAGGAGTGTGTTAGATAAAAACTACGGTTTTTTCTTATTTAGTATATTCACACGTTTCCTTAAACTTAGTTAGTTGTTTTTTTTTTTTTGAATATCTGAATTAACTCTCCACGTATAATGGAAGAACCTATTTTTTGCTGGCCATTTGGGCCAACTTTGGGCACAATATTTGTGCTACAGCGACTAGTTTTAAGATAGGATGGTTATTTAAATATGTCAACCGAATGAAAACAACAATTCATCGGGTCTTCAGCTCATACTTTCTCTCTCTATTATTTTTCCATTATTTTTTTTCTTCCAACTAATTTCTTTCGGCCGTTTTTTACTCCGTCGATGATTTCCTCTCAATTATCAGAAGTCAACAGAGTGAATATTTGTTGTTGTCTACGTTTAGAAAATGGTGGAGAATACAGGTCAGATGAGTTCAAGTAATATTTGCATGAGTGTGGGATACGACGTCAGTTTACATGTGCTACACGCCACAACAAAATGGTGTAGCAGAAAGAAAGAATCGACACCTTACAAAAATCTGTCGAAGCATATTACACGCAAAAAACTGTTCCATAAAGATTTTGGGCTGAAGCTATGCGAACTACTGCCCATGTGATCAACAAGCTTTCCTAACCAAAGCTAGGATTCATCTTACCATTTGAGATACTATGGGACATGAAACCTACAGTTGGTTACTTCTGAGTATTTGGTGTGTTTGCTATGTATTTGTGTCTGACCATCTACGTAGCAAGTTTGACATGAAAGCAGTCAAGTGTATATTTGTTGGATACGATAATCAAAGGAAAGGATGGAAGTACTGTGATGCAACAAGTGGAAAATACTATACATCAAGAGATGTAGTTTTCGATGAAGCATCTTCATGGTGGTCCTCAGAGAAGAAAGTCTTACCAGATTCAAACATCGAAGAAATTTTGCAACAGATGATGGAGTTACAAACTAAGCAAATTCAATCAAATGTTGATGCGCCTAAGGATCCAAGTGACATTAACATTGACGAGCAAGAGGTGACTTAATCAAGCAAATCTGATAAAAATGAAACGAAACATCAACATCTTAGGCGATCAAATAGAATCCGAAGGCCAAATCCTAAATATGCAAATGCAGCTATTATAGAAGATAGAGTTTATGAATCAGAGACATATGAAGAGGCATCATAAAACTCAATTTTGCAGAAAATGATGGAGGAAGAAATTATAGCTCTGAAGCATAATCAAACTTGGGAACTAGTGCCAAGACTAGGAGATGTCAAACTCATCTCTTGCAAGTGGGTCTACAAAATAAAGCGTTGATCGGATGGATCAATCGAGAGATACAAGGCTCGACTCATACCTCGAGAATTTTCTCAACAATATGGACTAGACTATGATGAAAGATTTAGTCCAGTGGAAAAGATCACTACCGTATGAGTCCTGTAGCACTCGCAGCAAGTTAAGATTGGAAACTATGGAAAATGAAGGCAAAGAGTTGAACGATAAAACGACACACTGACAAATAGTAGGTAGTCTTATCTACCTAACTTTAACTTGGCCTGATATTTCTTTGCAATTGGGAATATGAGTCGGTACATGCAAAGTCTAAAGAAGCCTCATTTGGATGCAACTC